CATTAGATATATCTCGTGTGTGGGGCAGGTAAAACACACCAACATCAGTACTCCGATAACAAGTTTGTTTGACCATTAGATATATCTCGTGTGTGTGGGGCAGGTAAAACACACCAACATCACTACTCCGATAACAAAAGTTTGTTTACAGCTGACCATTAGATNACACCAACATCACTACTCCGATAACAAAAGTTTGTTTACAGCTGACCATTAGATATATCTCGTGTGTGTGGGGCAGGTAAAACACACCAACATCAATATTCCGATAATAAAAGTTTGTTTACAGCTGACCATTAGATATATCTCGTGTGTGGGGCAGGTAAAACAATATGCATCATGATTACATATTTACCAGGGATCTTTCTCTCCAAGCTTCTCTTTGTTCAAGAATAACTGAATACAATCATGTAGACGAACGGTATTCTTCTTTTGTGTGGCTTTTCTGTGGACACTCTCATGTTCTTCGCGGTCCTATTCAACAAAAAAATAAACCAATATTTTCAGGAAATGTTCCAGACTATAAAGGGCAGACTTGTCTTTCTTTTCCTTCCCTTTCTTTATTTCATTTTCCATAGCTTTCTTTCCATAAAAAATAAATTAATAAAATATAAATTAATAAATAAAATAAAAAATATGAATAAATGGGATTTAACAGTGGCATTTCTACAGAGTAGCTATTCATCCACTGTAATTCTAATTGAATTTAGGAGTTGGTTTTTGAGGAGGGGGGAAAGCCGGAGAACCCAGAAAACCCTTGAAGCACAGGCGAGAACCAACAAACAACTCTACTCACATACGACACCGAGCTCAGCGGGACTCGAACCCTTTCCATTACCGCCTTTCTCTATTCCTTTTCTTTTATTCATTTCTTTTCCATCCCTTCCTCTCATCTTATTTTGTCTACTTATTTTACATCCATAACTCTACTCACCTCTGCCAGCGACACATCATAAAAGTTTTCTTTCATCTTTGAATTCCAATCCAATGATACATAGCATTGATCTTAAAAAGTAAGAAAAAAACAACTTATATATCACTTTCTTGATAAATATAACAAACTAGTCTAGCCTATTACAATTTCTTTTAAAATGATAATTTCATTAAAGTCAACAATTTATATACATCAAGAAAGAAATAATTTACAAATAAAATAGTTAATGCAAGAAAACTTTTAAAAGGGTACTGACAACCTTAAATAACCATAGGGGACTAGAAATTCAGGTTGCAGTTTACGTACAGTACAGTGTACATTAAAATTCGTGCATAATTAATGAAGGTCTAAGTCAATCCAATTTCAGAAATCAGGTCGTATAAATGACATGTAAGTCAGAAACAAACCTTGCAATGAAAATGGCAATTAGATACAATCACTAGTGGATGTATACAGTTCTTATACAACACTAGTGGTTGTCATTAGGTCATRAGCATATGAATTCAAAATGTCCCAAAAGAATTATTCACAGAATTTCACAAGTTATTAACAACATTCGCTTCTGTGTTGTATCAGCCATACAATCACTTGTCTCTAGTTAATGATTGTATAGCCAATACAATAGGCCTGCTCATATTGTAAACATTACATAGTTTACTCTTACAATATTTAAGATTCAAGTTTATGGTTTTAGCATTGCTTGAGTTTTTTTTCAAACTTAACATAAAAGCATTAAAAATACTGATCATTTTCCAAGGGTTTCTTACTTGTCAGTTTAAGTGGCTTACTATCGTTTGATAGTGCATGTATATCAGTAGTGCCATACATGTTGACCAGAGTTAAGTCAAACAGAAGGCTTTTTTTCTTAGTTTTCTCATCAATGTCATTTTTCTGCTTTTTCTGGGATTCATCTTTCTTGTTGGAATGCTGGTTGTCTTCATCATTTTCATTGTCATCTCCCTTGGGAGTGAATAATATAGATAGCTATCATCAGAATGGATGAATGGATGGATGAATGAATGGGTGGATGGATGGGTGGATGAATTATTATATTCATAAATACCAACGGTAAAGAATGCAAATGCCACGGACCTTGACTGGAACATGTGAACATTCTGCCCAAATTGGAGGGTGTTATCGAGGTTGTAATCAAGAAACACAGCTGTAATTTGGAACTTAAAAATGGTCTATTGATAAGAATGCAAGGATGGGCAGATGAATGAATGGATAAATGGGAAGGATGGATGGGAAGAGATGGATGGGAAGAGATGGATGAATAGCAATGGATCAGTATAAACGATTATGATTGATAATGGATAAGAATGGATATTCTTTGATGAACCGAAAGAATGCATGGGAACAGATGGATGGATAGATGGAAATGAATCGGTATGAACAGATGAATGGCAATGGATAAGTATGGATGAGTGTAGTGGGATAAATGAATRGGATTGGAAGAGATGGATCCATAATCCTTACTCCACTAACAAAGCAAAGATATGAATGGAAATAAAAAGATGCTTTGGATTAAAGGATGAACAGAGATGGATGAAAGTTAATGGGATAAGATGGATAGGATGAAAGGAATGGAATGGGTGAGGAGATGTTTTTTGCAGGAAAGGTGTTTAAAATAATAAACAAGAAGCAAGGAAAAAAAACAGTTGAAGAGCAGAGCACAACTGTTTGCTAAGGCCTAGGGCAAACGTCGAACTTTCCATGCACCGAACTCATTAAAAACAATGGATATCAGGTGAAAATGAGGCGGCATTCTTTGATGTAATTAAGTTCAGTGCATGGAAAGTTTGCCRTTTACCCTAGGCCTAATTGTTCTTACACGTACATTTACAGTTACATTCTTGTATGCTTGTTCAAGTTCTTTGTCAGAGTCATCTTCAATTTCTTCATTTTTGCATTCATTCATTTCAATGTCTCCATTCTCTTCCCCTGTCTTTTCTTCGTTTTCAACAGCTGCTTCATCACTTTTCACAAAACGTCTGATAAAAAATTAGACATAAATCATACTTAGCCTTCATACCCCACTAACATTGAATATTCAATTTCTCACACTTTCTTAAATTGGTCAAAAATTATATCAAAGACTGATTATGACATGACTAGTGGTTACTAGTTGGTTTCTGCATTGGTGTGTTGAAAACAACAAACGAATAAAAAGGAAAAAATTGCAAAAATACTGATATTTCAGACATTCGTCCTTCTTCGGAGTAAAAAGGGTATTGTTATTATAGATGAAGTTATTAATAAATGTAAATGTAAAGTGAAAGATTAGAAAGTTTGTAGTTGATATTAATGTTCACCTTATCTTATTCAAAGCCAGTTCGTACAAGTTACTGTATTTAGAACTTTTCTTTGGTAATGCCACAAAGAAAGGGTAGCCAAAAAGGACTTTAGCAGAGCTGCTACTGTGATAACCAGTTACACGTGTCCTGCAAAGTACAACAAAATAAATGCAAACCTATCCTCAACTGTGTTTTTTAACCTATTTTTTTTCCCTCTACCAAAACCCAACATGTTAAATTCCATTTCACCAATGAGTTGGCTATGCCGACTTAGATCAGCCCAGAGGTTGTTTCAGG